AAATTGATCCGCTCATTTTTTATTTAACATCTTTTCTTTTCAATTCTTTCCGTTGGTTATTTGTGTCATTCGCTGTAAAATTATATGAAAAAAGGGAATATTAATACTTAAATATATATGTACGTAACTTATAGACCCACCACTCTTTGTATTGGCTTCCGGTATTTTTTCTTTCCAATTTTTATTCTAATTGGTATTGCAAAGAACGATAAAAAACCGAACTAAGCATCATCTTAGTAAAAATATTAAGTTTTTTTCATCATCTTATTGATCTAACTACTTATTTCTACAGGGTGCTTCATCCTTTATGTCGGTATGCAAACATTGAATAACTTTAAGAAAAAAACCGATTTCTATAAATGATGTATATATTGAAATTTTTTGAAAAAAGCGCTTTTATAAATCAATTATGTATTCGCCATCATGTTCGGCAATCCACTCCCAACGTTCAACCAATTTACGGATGCCTGATTCATAGAAATCGCGCGGGTTCACGTTGAAAAAGGTGTCAATGTGGTTTTTGACGTCTTCCACATTTTCAAATTTTTTCCATTCAAATTGTTCTGCAGCGATCGAAACAAATGATAATCAGAAGGTGCAATGTCGGGTGAATATGGGGGATGCGGCATGATTTCCCAATTCATCTCCTTCAGTTTGGCCAGGGTCGGTTTGGCAACATGTGGCCTGGCGTTGTCATGATGGAAAAGAACTCCTTTGCGATTGCCCAAAATCGGACGTTTTTCATCAATTGCTTTCTTCAATTCGACCAATTGCTGACAATACTTGTTGGCAGTGATCGTTTCCCCAGCTGGCAAGAGCTCAAAATAGATCACGCCTCGGATATCCCACTAAATGCACAGCGGTACCTTCATCGGATGCAATCCACCTTTCAACATCGGTTCCGCCCCTTCGTGTGCCTGTTTCCATGTTCTTTTGCGTTGAACATTGTTGTACAGGATCCATTTTTCATCACCAGTCACGAGCCGATCCAAAAAAGATTCGTTTTTGATCCGTCGAAGCAAAGAAATTGCTGTTGACATACCGTCCACTTTGTTTTTTTTTTCACTCAACTGATGTGGCACCCATGTATCGAGCTTCAAAGTGTACCCAACCTTTTTTAAACGACGAAACGCAGTTGATTTGCTGACGTTCAATTCACTGGCAACCTCTCCCGTCGAAATACGTGAGTTATTCGCAACTAAAGTCCTTAGAACATCGTCATCAAGCTCAGAAGGCCGTCCACTGCGAGGTTGATCTTCGAGGTTAAAATCTCCAGAACGAAATTTCGTGAACCATTTCTTTACTGTGCGGAGTGCTGGAGCACGGTCCAAATAAACTTCGCGAATATCTTTAGTTGCAGCACCTACTGTTTTTCCTTTGCGTATAACATAATATGACGCATATGATCTTTTTCGTTGTCCATCTTCCATGTGTCTTTTCACATAGCAACTCAAATCAAAATGAAGTTATTTTATGCTTGATTTACAGTTCGGACTGTCACCTTTCCAACGATATATAATATGTATATATTTCTTTTACGAACGCCACTCTCAAACAATTGGAACGGCACCCAGCGGAATCGGGCACGAACTTATGCACTCATCCAATATATTGAGTTTGGTTCCTTACAATTTTTTCGGACTAGTTTTTGAAAGCAATATAAATCAAGTGGTTCATAGAAATTGCGAAATGACTCCTTTTTTCTGCGTTTGCCACTACCTTTCCGAGCATCTCGGGTGTTATAGCGTCGATTTCACGTAAGCACGAATGTTTGTCTTGAGCTCATCAATAGTTTGAATCTGGTTGGCGTAACCCTTTGCTTTTCAGATAACCCCATAAAAAGAAGTCCGGGGGGGCTAAATCAGCCGAACTGTCAGATGAAAACTCTTTTGCCGTGAAATTTTTTCCGAATTGCACTTTGAGTTAACACAATGGAACGATTGTTTTCGATGTAAAGTGTCACTATATCAGCGCGTTGCTTCGGTGTGAAGCGATCCATGGCAAAACTTGTACTGAATTGACGTTTCCGAAACATATCTGATGCAATCCCTCAATTGTTAAATGTGAAAGTTATTCAGCGTTTACATACCGACATAAAAGATGGAGCACCCTATATATGCGGGGCACTACTTCGGTGCTCAAAGTCTTTCAAGAAAATGGCAGTCTGAATGCCAGCCGCACCCTTTGGATCTACATATCCTTATTGACAATCAGGTCGATTGTAAACCACAATCGTAGAATAACAATAACAAGTCGGAGCGAACAAACCTACGCACGATCTATACTTATATCCAAATCATACTAATTTTTGTCAATCCTTCGGTGATCCCTTTGCTGTAAAGAGAGTATTTATATTTCGAGCAAATCGAGCGTACTTTCAGGTCGCCGGTCAATATCCATAAAGCAAAAGTATTCTATTTAGGCGTATCAGCTTAAAACTTAAACAAATCAAGAACGGGTATATTAATACAAATATATTGATCCACTTCCCGTAAAAAAAGGATATGTACTGAATTTCAAGTAAATCAAGTCATAAACAAGATTTTTTCGAATATGTCTGTCTCTTCCCGGTACACTTCCCGGAGGAAAGAATAGTACTTCCTCCCAAGCCAGTAAGATTATGGGCAGTGTTTTACAAAAAACGGACCACGTGTTAAACCCAGTAAGGCAGAGTTCATGATATTCACAAATAGAACCAGAACTTTCCAGATATTAATGCAGAAGAGGTATAGTAGGGGAAGAAGGTACCATTGCAATTTACACCGACCAGTCTAAAATAGACCATGCGCTGGAGGCGGTTGGTAAACTTCAATCATCTTAAAGTCTCCCTCTCTTTGAGTCCACCAAACTCAAGCGAAAGTACATGGCATAGAGAAGGCCTGTAGAGCTCCAATGAATAACTGTGGCAGTATAAAGTAAGCAACCATTTACTTGGACAGTGGAACAGGATTGCCCTCTTTAAATGGAAACTGCAATGGAAAACTGTTTTAGAAAAGTCTTAAAGACTGCAACAGATGAACCATAAGAATATTTTTTGGTAATGAAAAAACTAACGAGTTGGTCAAGTCGGAGCCAATTCCTGACGAATCCGAATCGACTATATCTGGCAGCAAAGATGAAGAATTAATAGCTTAGAAAAGATTGAAAACTACATTCTACTGAAATAAAACGCAGGAAACTTGGCGCAAAATGAATTGTTAAGAACTAAGATCTATCAAAAAATAGTTTATTTAGACTTACAGCCACCATAAAACCTTTGACGCAACCGCAAACTAGAAGAGATTAAAGCAAAAGTTGTCTCTGTGAGTGTGGAGCTTTATCGCAAATTCTACATGGAATACTTGAAAACCACCAACTACCAAACCTTCTATGGTTGTCGGCATAAAACATTGAGAATATTGATTCGAGCGCAGCGATAAAGCTTTACGAAATCGCATCAAAATGGCCGATTTGGTCCGAGATTAAAATCCTTTGGCTGGCACTCCTATCCACCTATTCGAAATCAACTGCTCAATACCTCACAAGGGTTTGTAAATTTATTGTCTTATACACCCATAGCCAGCACCACCCCACCACAACCTCCATTGACTAAGCATAATCTTCATTAATGCTCATTGCAATTCCGGGCTTATTACTGCTTGATTTATAATTTCAAAGCTGACAACTTTTAATTTTATCACATTTCGATATGAAGGCGACATTCCGTTGTTATAAAAATGTATTTATAGTCATTTCTAATTGAAAAATAAAAAATGCGCAAATGCATATAAATGAATTGTGTTCAATAATTCATGGCGACAGCTAATTAAATACATACATACGTGTACATATGTGCATGCGTAGTACATGCACTCATAGCAAAAGGCAGTCAAATGTGTCTGTGAAACAAAAGATTTTACGATTGAATTCACCATGAGGTGAGTTTTTATTGAAACCATCACATTCCTCTATAATTTCTATTCCTGCCTTCACCTCCTACGCCATCATCGTCATGTCCCAACAGCTTTGTTTGCATTCGATTTTAGAAAGAATAAAGTGGGAAATGTGTCACTAGAAAATCGATAATTCAGTGAAATGCGCCATTAACACAAATGCAATTTTCTTTCACAATCACACACGGACAAATATACATAGAAACGAGTTGCTTCTGAGATTGTTCTCGAAACCTTTCTCTTTTCAAATTTTCTGCACTCGCATTAAGTTTCGACGATTCGGTTGTTGTTGTTGTTGTTGTTTTTGTTTTTGTTGCCGTCTTTTCCGCCAAAATTGTATGAAGTTGAGCGCGACAAATTCGCCGAAAATCTTAATCATTGTGTAGAATGTCATAAAGCTAGCGCCCAAAAATAGGCTAACTGCACCGCCGAATGAGACGATCAGCTGATCCGAGCTGAAAACGACGCGTCGACGAATGCCACGATAAGGCAGTTGAAGTTGTATAACCACAATACGCTCGAATTTCTGGCTCAAAAAGCCCTCTTGCTGTGCAAATAGAGAGAAGGGGAAAAAGAGGGAGATAAGGAGAAACAGAGAAAGAGAGGGAGAAAAAGAAACAGAAAAGGAGAGACAGAGAGAGAATAGAAAGAGAAAGAGAGAAGCAGAAACGAGGAAAGGGAGAGAGAGAGAAGAAGGAGCAGAGACAAAAACAGAGAGAGAGACATTAAAAAGATGGGGAGAGAGAAACAGTAAGGAGAGAGAGAGTGAAACAGTAAGAAGAGAGAGAGATAGAGACAGTAAGAAGAGAGAGATAGAGACAGTAAGAAGAGAGAGATAGAGAGATAGAGACAGTAAGAAGAGAGAGAGAGAGATAGAGACAGTAAGGACAGAGAGAAAGAGATAGAGAAACAGTAAGAAGAGAGAGAGAGAGAGAGTAACAGCAAAAAGAGAGAGAGAGACATTAAAAAGATGGAAAGAGAGAAAAAGTAAGAAGAGAGAGAAAGAGACACAAAAAGGATAGAGGGGAAGAATCAGAAATAATAAGAGAGAAGGCAAAGGCGAGAGAAAGAAGGGATAAACAGAGAGATGAGTAATTGCAGTGTTTAATTAAGTACATCAGTGGCTACATACCTGCATAGGCGGCGAAAGACTTTGCTGGAGCTGCACATAAAACATATACTCACAGAGTTGCACACACCCTGTGCAATTTGTCTTCGTCCAATTATGCTTATGTAGGCACAAAAGCTGATCCACACTGCAAACGGGTAATTCCGGGGCAACGGCATAGAAGTGGGGCTTACATTTGCACAGCTCCAAGGCTCGACGGATGCGTTGATCCATGCAGCACAAAGCAGTTGTGTAGGTCTTTTGGTCAGAGGAGAATATAACAAAATGAAATCATTTAGACTCTGATTAACAAAACTACCTGAAAAAACTTGAGATTACTCTCGTCCGGATAGCGACATTTGCGATATTCCACAGGTAAATTTCGCACCTCGACTTCGGCGCTGAAAGTGCTTATCTCCAAGTCAACGGTTAAGACTCTACCCGGTGAAGCTGTCAGATAAACGTTGGTTATGTGTCCTGGGGACACCACATCGAATGGATTGTGCAAGTACTAGCGAAATAAGGAATTATTCTGAAGGGGGTTTTTTTTTTTGATAGTGGCGTTCGCCATAGTAAACATACCACAGAAACTTGGGCGTTGTCGGGATATTCGGGATATAGTTTGGTGATGCAAATACTCATGAATAGACAGTACTGCACGGGACCAACATCGATGGATTTTCTGTAAAATAAGAGAATTTCCAAGTTCAATTAATGTGTGGCGGCATATTTTTAGGCGCATTAATGTGATGAACATTAAATTCAACATCCAACAAACGTACAATTTTCCACTTGGATTCGTGTATTTATTTAGTTGCGAAGAGGTACGGCATAGACCAACCTCAGTCATGGCTGGTGCATATTGATTTGATTTTGATAGTTGAAGCTCTTGTCCTTCGGGTCTCTGTAACTGCAAGAGAAAGAGTTGCTTTTTGTTGTTTCGGGTATGTAATATAATATTTTTTTTTGTGTAAATCAAAGCAGAACCCTTACAGTATCATCAAACTCCGATTAAATTGAGCGGCTAGGGAATATATATATTTTCTATTATTTTCAGTCAAATTTTTATTGCATACCTTTAGGCACACTTTTTCATTAGGTGGTTAGTTCACAAATTTTTGAGATTTAGAAAATTAATCGATTTATATATTTACTTACCTTCGTTAAAACATCTACATAATTTATATGCCCTAATGTGGTATCATTTTGATAGGGATGCAGTGTGTCCAGAGTGTCATAACGTAATAAATTCAAAACTTGCAGAAAGCCCGCATAATAATCGTAGCGAGTGTCGTTAGGCGTGAGCTGCCAGATTCTGATTTAAAAGCATAAGAGAAGTACATTGAAAACTCAGACAAAATACATCACAACGATAATGCAAGGAGCAGCGCCTAAAATTATGCCTTCAAATGCTTTACTTTTTGCCACTGGTACTATATTTTTTTTAATTTTGTTGCATAGTTTTAGGCATAGTTATGCTACTCACAAAATATCTGGCGTCGTATTTTGCACTCTCAAACTTACTCCTCAATTAACTCCCTTTCGGCCAACTCATTGCGATAATCACTGCACATTGTGATGCCTGCATAAAGGAAATCCTTCTTATCCCAAGTCAATTCGGCGGCAAAGACAATGGGATTTTCACGAAAACGCTTCATTTGATCCAAACATATAAAGATGGAGTAGTAAGTGGCTGAAATGACGATGCCCAGCCAAAATAGCCGCTCTGTCCAATGCAAATCCTTACGTATGAGATAGGGCAAACCGTGTATGCCGGTCTCTGTGAAATTGCGCTTTACAAAGGTGCCACAATTCATTGTTGCTGATGAACCGTTATACTGTTGAAAAACCAATATACTGTTGATTATTGTGCCACAGGCGCGGTGAGTTGCCTTAAATAGTCGTGCGACTTCATAGGATTTTCAAGGACCCTTTTAAATTAGTGGAACTTTGCTCATCGTTACATGTCTTATTAATTGCAATTTGTTGTTTGTGCAACATTGATTGCAGTCATGCGATGGCTAATATGGGTCTAAGGTATTTAATTATTATTTTTATTCCAAGTGTGGCAAATGGTAGGTACAGTGCATTAAGGAGGTTTGTCCACTGGGACAAAAATATTTATTTTTTGTGATTTTTTTTTTGTTTGAAGATGCTTTTTATGAAATAAATACTTAAAATAAATGTACATAAAGCGATCAATGCATTTGAAAAAATATTGCGATCCGTTGTTACTGTGGAGGACCTCCACAAAGAGGTGTCTAACGGTAATTAAGTTATATTTGATCCTAATTATCTGTGATAAAATGTAAAATCCAATATATTTATTTTTTTTTTTTAAATAAATACAGGTAATTGTCAATGATAAAGTCAAGGGGTTTGGCGAAATGGCGGCTTCCCAAAGAAAAAACATTTTTATTCCAGAAGATTCTCAGTTTGAAGTGGCTTAAAAAGTGAAAATTATTGTCAGAAACCATATTCCTTCGCTCTTTACCTAATAAAAGCATCTAAAAATATCGCATGCAAGTTTTAAGCCGATCTGTCCTGCCGTTTCGGTGAAAATTTCCTCACCTATTTTACTTTAAAAATACCACTTCGAGAAAAATGGCTTTAAAGTTTCGAGTTAACCCACGTAGGTGGACGTTTAAACTTAATAATAATATTATTTTTGATTCATTTGTCTTTTAATACGCCATGGAATGTTTAAATGATAACTTCACAATAGGGTGCAGAACGGTAAGCTACAAGCCTGGAAAAAACTCTGATGTTCCCTTACGTAAGTAGTTACTAAACCCTCATACTCTGAAATTCCGGTCGAAACTCACTTCCGAGGACTGGTTATCGTCAGGTTTTGATAAAGATGGCTCTTCGAAGAGCATCGAACTGGTATCATCGATATAGTCACTGTATTGAGGTCTGTGATTAACAAAGCTGTAAACCTTAACCTCTTTAGCACAGTACAAAGACTAAACACTGTTCCACACTCAAGGCCTTTTCAAACGATTTAAATGTAATCTTCAACATCTTATATAATTGGTGCTTTGAATCTGCTGAAGTGATTTTCGGCCGAGCTTCTCTTCCAATTTGTGGTTTCACGTTTTGATGGTTTTCGTATAAATCGAGAGAAATACAACCTACAACAACCGCCTCCGAATGTCCGATTGATTTTTTTGAGGAGCCGTTATGTCATGTCAGAAATACACTTGGAGGCCTTGATGTTCCCTGCCGAGGGTCGACCGCAATTATAAAAATCATTTTTTTGGATTTTGGTCGAAACAGGTCTCGAACTCTGGATTTCTTTTATCTTATCAATTAATTAGTTGACAAATTAACGGATCGTTTACCAAAGGTGTTTGAATTAGTGAAGTAATCAATGCTATACTCTGATATTAAGACCGCTTTTGGTCAACTTTGGTCACCAATGACAACTAGTAACACGCAAACTTCCTTAAAAGAGGAACTGAACAATCCCTTCGACATTCTAAACGCCAGTTTTGTAATAGGAGTAGGAGACAGTTGGTATTAGAAGCTCTTCAACAAATCTGCCCAATAAGCCCTGATTCAGACAACCCGATCATTATATTGTTTTTATGCCGAAATTTAACTTCTAAAGTCGGCTGGAAATTCTATTTGAAACCAAACCACGGACCAACACACCCACCTGCATATTGTGATAACTTCCACTAACCAAAGCTGGTGTAACTCTCCGCAATCTACACCCACCCTATTTGCCTCTCACTGTCGTTGTAGGCATTTGTTAAAATATTGTGCTATCCCACCCCGCCCTTTTCCAATTCGTACGACTTTTATTACCAACAGTTTGCACCCAAGACGCCCACCCGTCCATTTTTATCTGCACCAAAGAACAGGCAGCAGGTCGACAACAGTTGCTTGATTCAATTCCGCTCAGGATGGAGGAAGAAAAAAACACTGCTCGGGCATAGAACAATTTACTGGCACAAGGTTGAGCTATGTGTTGCTCCCATTTCGTGCGCTGCTCCTGCCGTGCCTATGAATGCGTGTCACATACGTATGTATGTATAGAACCGGTGACTACTCATTCTGTTTATTTGTTGCAAGTCCACATTACGAGCTACACTGACGCTCATTCATTGTCTACATACATACGTGTGGGTTTGTTATCATTTTTGCAAAACAAGTGTGTGCCACATTACTTGCCACAGGCGGGCGAACAAAAGGATTGCATACATCCATAGAGATAGTAGCACCCATCGCAGTTAATAAAAGTGGCAATTTCTATTTGCGTAGAAATAAAATGTGAAAACGAATGAAATAGATGAGAGAGAAATGAATCAAAGAAGCGAGCTTTAAATGAGCACAATTGCTCGCATAAATATTTATAAATACGTGCATACATACATAAGTGCATATGTGTGTTCCACTGAATGCCCCAATGACATACATTCGAACGTAATGGAAATGAGCGCTCAGCGGAGGTATTTCATTTGCGGGGTGCGTCCCTTCGAACGACCAACATCCGTTCGACTGTCTATTATCAGCCTATTATTGCCTTTAAAGAGCTTCTGCTCAGATGCAGATATGACAAAAAGGGTTTGCACACAAACTCACGCAGATGTGGTTGCTGTTGTTGTGATTATTCATATCCTTTCGGTGATTTTATGAACAAATATTTCACTGCCTCGTATCTTTCACCCGCATTTGGGGTTTAAAGATTCATTTAAGGGCTTAGAAAGCGTGTGCTGAATGTTAGGTGACCTGACCGCATGTATTCCAATCGTATGGTGCCGAGTCAGAGTCAATACCGCAAGGGATACGTGTGACTTGGTGGGTATTAGAAGAGTTTTCCGACTGAGCTGGCCAAACGGATCTTGTGAACGCAACACCTCGCGGTATTTGTCCAGCCTAAGCCAAGCGAGCGTCACGTCCATCGGTGCAGAAGTAGACAACCAGCCTCCGAGTCACAATCCCATACGTTTTCTGCCAGAGCACATCAACTGTGCAGTTACTAGCGATTCGGTTGTGACTCTATACCTAATTAAGCCTCACCAAAATACAGTTATGCACTTTTGAGAGCAAATTTAAACATTCCTTAACTAGTCTTGAGTATACCATTGTCAGAGCAAATACTGAGATCCTGCAGTGCGGCTTGAAGTGTCGCTCCGGTCAACCAATTAAAGGAAAGATGAATTAGAAATTAAGAAAAATAATTTTAACGCTTCATAATCTCTACAAAGCTCAGCTGTTACAGGCTCACCGTCGCTTACTTCTAGTTGCCACAACGATTAATCATACCTTGAAGGACCAAATGTACCAAAAACCTAGCTCAATTAGATCCAAAATGTTCTATGTATCCAGGGATGAAGTCCAAACTCTGTAAGCCCCTCTAATGCTCAAGCTTTGAAGCGAGCAGTAAGTCAGTTTTTTGTCGATACAAAAATATGTTTACGTCGTCGACTATTTATAAAACGTAAGCTCATCTACCCTGCAGTGTAAAGCTTCAAATTTGAAATCATAATAGTTCGCCCTGCGTTCGAAACTCACCAGTAACCGTCTGTTTATTTTGGTACACCACAGGCAGCTCTTGTTTAGTGAGGACAGCCGAGTGGCTAGAGGCTATCGCTGTCATGCATGACATTCACGACTCGAATATTGCTGTTGGTATATATTTTCATTTTGCAAAATACGAATTCAACATCCATAAATGAACTAGTATTTAACTAGTCTAAAGCTGATGCAAGGGCGGATAACAGACATTTCGGTAGGAGATTGCCAGGTATAAAAAATTTTCTTCACATAGAAAAATGGCGGACGTCGAACTAGTTGCATACTTGTTAACAACTAGTATCTTTTCTTGCAGGTTACATACCTCAATGTGGATAGATTTATGTACAAATGACGTACTAGAAATTTATTTGTATATATATCGAAGGCACTGGTGTACCGCCTGAAGCAATTAATGCAGTCATTCATATGAGTTATTCGTGAAATATTTACTTATTAACACAATTTCCATTATAATCTAGTAGTTATGAAAAAAATATAGGGAAATTAAAGCATGATTTATATGCATATATGATTAATGTAATAGAAAATTATTGCAAATACTGCAAAAAAAACTTGTTTATAAGTAAAGTATCGACATAAAATTTATGCAGTCTGTCTGTCTGTAAGTGTGTGCACTATGTATGACGAAAGTGCTTACATCACTTTTATTTAGATTTTTTGTACATTTAGGCAGGTGAGCTCATTCAATTGTTTTTAAATCTATCGTCTAGCTGTGACGTAATAATCGCATAACATTTTTGTTTGCAACAGAAAAAAAAGTAGAACTCGATTTTTAATGAGCTAATAAATATAGTTTTTAATGATTTGTCTATAGAATATAAAGGTATGTATATTTTTCTTGCTTGCTTCAACTCGAAACTGGTCGTAGCTTAAGTAATCCGCTTATGAATGATTGATAGATAGATCACCGATAGAGTGAGTGAGCGAATGAGTGAGCAAACTCTTTGTACAAGGTAGCACATAATTGTTTGCTGATTATTGTAAATTATCAAAGTTAAAAGAAGGTGTTGAAAGTGGCGCTAAAGTATTGTATATTCAAATTATTTTTTTTCAATTCTTTTATTATAATTTTATATTTTTTATAAAATTTTAATTTTATTTATAAATTTTTAATGAAATTAAATTTCTATGGAAAGTAGTTTTTTGGTGCACAAAGAAAAAGAAGAAGCATTTAACTTGGATTTCAGTCAAAAAAAAGCTTACTAATGATCTCTTCAAATATCAAAAACCGTTGCTCAACTATATCTCAACTTGCTAATTATAGCAATCTCAAACGAGGGAGTACTGCTGTCTGTGAGAGTAAGAGGGAG